ATAATCATTTTTTTCCCAAGATGCACCCAGTTATTTTTCCCAGAATCGTGAATCTTCAACCCATTCCAGGAGGTCACATGGTATTTACAGATGGCAACTCCTCAGGCATCGCTGTAGTCATCTCTCAGACCATTGTTAAGCGAGTTTTCATTGAAACACGATCTGCACAGGTTGCTGAACTTGCAGCCTTAGTTCTTGTCCTACAATTATTCCCCTCTGAAGTGTTTAGTATTTACACTGACAGTCAGTACACTTCCTGAATATTTCCCCTGCTGGAAACAGCCACTTATATTGCCCCTCTGTCCAGGGTCCATGATTCCCTGCTTCAGCTACAAGGACTTTTGTGGCAATGATCTTGTCCACTGTTTATAGGACATCTGAGAGCTCATACCCAGTTGCCCAGCAATCTTAGCAAAGGCAATGAGTTGGCTGACTCTTGCACACATGCGTTCCTAGCTATGTCCACATTTGATAAAGCACAATTATTACACTGATGCTTCAATCTCAACTCTGGGACCCTTCACCACCACACTGGAGTCACCAAAGAGCAGGTCACCCAGATAGTTAAGGACTGCCCTTCCTGCTCGCCACAGGAGTGAAGGGCTAATCATATTTGGCAAATGGATGTTACCCATGTACCCAACTTTGGTAAATCACAATATGTTCATGTTTCTGTTGATACATTTTCTCATCTCATATTTGCTTCTGCTCATTTCAGGGAAAAGGTAAAAGATGTAAAAAGCCTTTGCTTCCACACTTTTGCATATATGGGAGTACCCAAGCAGCTCAATACAGATAATGGACCTGCTTATATGAGCTCAGAGTTTTAAGCAATTTTGTGAGGCATATGATATCACCCTGAAGACGGGCAAACCATACAATCCGCAGAGACAGGCTGTGGTGGAATGTACCCATCATACCCTCAAAAGTTACCTAGATAAAGTAAAAAAGGGGGACTCAGGGACTTTCATTCTGTCTCCCCATGCTTCTGCAGCTTATATCTTATATATTTTAAATTTTTTAACTCTGGACTCTCGAGGACAGTTCGCAGCCAGTCGCCATTGGCAACCGCTCATGGAGCCCGAAGGAATGGTTCGCTGGAAAGACCTCGCCTCGGGACAGTGGCGTGACCCAGATCCCGTTCTGGTGTGGGTCTGAGGGTCTGTTTGTGTCTTCCCACAGGATGACAAGCACCCAATTTGGGTTCCTGAGCGTTGTGTGCACCCTGTTGTTCCTGAGCCAGACCAGTCACACAGAGCCACTTTGGGCCTTTGTGAAGAACGCCCCCATTTTTGATGCCTGTGGGCATCCAAAGTATGGTATGGCCAGCTATGGTGGGAACTAATCTTAGTCTGGCAAAAGTTTCTATCCTAGAGGATTTGGAAGAAGGAAATCTTACTGGCATGACTTTCACATTAAAGGATAGCTTATGTTTTACTCAAATTTGAAATAGTAGTCTTTTGGGTGGAGCTGAATCCTCCTTTCTTAATCATCGTCTTGTGCTAAGTCACTGGTTGGTTGCTGACTTTGCACCCAATGCCATGAATGCCTCAGTCCTGGGCATGCAGAATATTATTGGGCCGATAAATTTTGATCGTAACACATCAGGCAGCGCCTCACCCCCTTGCCCGGGACCCCGCTGCTGGCCAGGTCCATTAACCTATAATTTAGAGTTACCACTTCTTTGGAGAGACTGTGTAGCTAGTACCCCCTGGCTTTTCCATGGCCACAGGGATGTTTGGCGGTATGGAGCTAGACCTCCCATAAAAAATAAAACCATGGATTCACCTCCATTTCATTATCGTAAACCCCTGCAAACTGAAGTGGTCCCAGCCTTTGCTGTATGTTTCTGTGTGGACCCTTCGTTTGTCTGGATGCGGTAAGCCAGGTGGCCTGCAAGATATTTGCATTTAATAATTGCTGCTGAAACACATCAAACTATCTTGAGCATAGTTTAAAATCGCAACACACTAGATATAGTAGGAATATATATATATATATATGTGTGTGTGTGTGTGTGTGTGTGTGTGTGTGTGTGTGTATGTATGTATGTATTGCCACTGGACCTTGTGTGCTCCCTCCATTCTTTTTGTGGTCACTAATGATTCCCTTTTGGGAGAGGTTTTAGATTGTTCTTACAGTGACTGCCGCCTGCAGGGGGTGCTGGGGTGCTGGAGTGCAGAGACAACAGCGTTGGTGGTGTGCGTTCCAGGCATCCATCCCATGCCGGTAAACACTGGGGCTGCAGAAGATGTTTGGACGCCACAAAAGAGACTTTGGCACCACTGTAGTTGTTGCTGCTGCCATTGCCTTCAGTGCGACCTCTACAGCTGTTTCTAGAATTGCCCTTTCCCAGTCGGTGGTCACGGCAAGCGCATCCCGCAAAGTTGCTACTGCACTCAGCACCCAAACAATGTAAATGTATGATACAATTGGGTATTCTCAATTTAAATCAACAGATCATCCAAATTAATGAAACCAGAGTGTCCCCATTGACTGGGGACCAGATTTTGTAGGGCCTTCAACTTGCCAGTCATCTCATCAGTGAATGAAGTGGCACCTTGGCCCTGGGAATTGGAGGATTTGCTTTATTCCTCCTATGCCGGTTTCTCTGGCCGCAGGCCTGGGACCAATTTCAGATGTGACAAGTTATGCTGTCTCTAGCTACAGGCAACCCCACAGCACAGTCATAGTTAAGTATGCAAAGCAAATTCAATGACGGGTTCTACATGGGGAATGCTTATCAACCAAAGACAGAGGGCCACAAGGCCTGGGTAGGCTTCTCCGAGACCGGTAAGGCAAGTACCAATATCCTATGTTACCTAAGACAGAAGTCCTTTTATATACAAAAGGGGGGACCTGTTGGGCCCTTCCCCCTGGGATGTCTGTTTATTGCCTGTTGACCTTTGCTAGCAAGTACATCTTGCACCTCCTGGTCTAACCCCAAGTTCCTTGTTCTGCTTAGCTGTTTACTGATTCGGCCCTGAGGACTTGAACTTCCAAACCCTGGGTTTTTTCACAGTGCTGCAAGCCCATATATATATATATATATATATGGAGAGAGAGAGAGAGAGACCACATTCTCCCTTCAATAAACAGAATTCTCTTAGCACAAATGACCCGCCGTGTGGTGTTTCTCTAAATCCTCAGCTCCTCGCTCGCAACTCGATACTGCAGTAGCGCTGGTGCTACAATATACCACTATATGGTGGGTATACCCCTTCAATCCCAGCACTCAGGAGGCAGAGGTAGGTAGATCTCTGTGAGTTTGACATCAGCCTGGTCTGCAAAATGAGTTCCAGGACAGTTAGGACTGTTACTCAGAGAAATCCTGCCTTGAAAAACAAAACAAAACAAGAATGTAAGAGCCAGAGACTAGATGATGACGAAGAAATGGTGTCCTCCAGACACCACGTGTGAACTCACATCACGTGTGAACGTGCATCAGCACGTGTGAACTCACAGAGATTATGACAGCATGCACAAGCCCCAATGCAAGCTCAAGGCAAGCCAAACACCAGCGTGGAGAAGGAAAGCGGGCATGATGTCTCCCTAGCTGAGGAATTATTGGCAGTGAATAGGTGCTGGGAGAGTGAGTCAGTTTTCTGTAAGAGTTACCCCTAGTGAGTCAGCTCTGATCCAGTGGGAGGTCACACACCTAGGAATATGTGAGCAGAACAATTGGACTTGTGAATCATAGAAGAGACCTTTTGGAGCAAGATTCTACCATCATCTGCAGGTAACTATTCTCCCATTGAAAGACAACTCTTGGCCTACTATTGGGCCCTGGTGGAAACTGAACATTTGACAATGGACCACAAAGGTACCATACAACCTGAGTCGCCCATCCTGAGTATTATCTGACCCACCAAGTCATAATATAGTAGATACATAGCAGAAATCCAGTATTGGATGGAAATGGTGTATACATGATTAGGCTTGTACAGGTCCTAAGGTTACAGGCAAGTTACATGAAGAAGTTGCCCAAATGCCTATGGTTTCTACTTCCCATTACAAGGCTGTCTGCTGCTACGTGTGCACCGATAGCGTCATGGGATGTGCCTTTATCATCAGTTGACTGAGGAAGAGAAGACCAGGGCCTGGCACTGATGGTTCTGCATGATATCCAGGCACCACACAGAAGTGGACAGCAGCAGCCTTACAGCTTCTTTCTGGGACAACCCTGAAGGATGCCAGAGAAGAGAAGTCTTCACAGTCGGCAGAACTTTGGGCAGAGCACATGATCATACATTATTCCTGAAAGGAGAAATGGCCAGATGTGCAATTGTTCACTGGCTCATGGTCTGTCGTCAATGGATTGGTTGGGCTAGGAAAAAGCATGATTGGAAAATCGAGGAGAAAGACCTTTGGGGAAGAAGTATGTGGAGAGATCTCTCAAAAGAGGCAAAGGCTGCAAAGGTGTTTGTGTCCCATGTAAATGTTATCAAAAGGTTGTGGGGAGCAAAGGAAGTCTCTAGAGTGTATGTAAGGAGCAGATGAAGGGAATGTGTGTGGTTGGCGTGCCCAGGTCACAGTCCCGATGCCTTAGACTCGGATTGAAGGCCAGCCCTCTCTAGGAACCTCTGGACTCCACAGCAGAATGGACTGGAAATTAGTGACGGGTGGACTCGGGGGTGGGTGGGACAAGCCTGGTTCCGTGGCAGTGAGGGTGTTGGCACTGCCCACTGTGCTGTCTCTCAGAGAGACCCCTTCCACAGATCAATCTTCAGATCAAATCTGACTTGAGAAGAGTATTGCGAGTTCCAGAGCTACTTTGTCATCAAGGCTCAGTCACCTTTATTTCTTTTCACCCAGACACCAGGAATGGAGCTGATATCTTAAGCATGACACGGGGAAGCTAACTGTCATCCCCAGCCCATGGCCTCCTACCTCCCATGAGCTAATGTCGGGGGAGAGAGCTTTCTCTGTAGGCATGTCAGAACAACTAACCCTTGAAGGACTTGGGGTCAGGGTATAAAAAGAAGTACTGCACGCATGGCTTTCCTTCGGAAGGCTTTATTGATCTCTGTGCCCAGGAAACAGAAGAATGTGCAGGGATGAGGTGAGCCATCTGGGAGTTGAGCACATGCAGGTAGCAGGTGGGTGAGAAGCCAGGATGTGGCTCCAAGAGCAATTTTCCAAGGACAGCAAAGCCAGCAAAAATGAGTTGGGTGTAACAGTCCTCTCAGTGCCGGGGCATCTGTGAGGACAGGAAGACCATATGAGACCCAAGGCCCTGTGCCTTGTCCTTTGTAGTCCTCCACATCCTTCCATGCCCCAGGGCCTTGCCTCTCACCTTGACTGGGCTTGGTGGGTATCTGCCCTTGTGGGTTTCTTCATTCATTAGAGACCTCAGCAGGCAGGAGCGGCGGTGGGAGAAGGTCTCGAAGCTTTTCTTGCCATGGTAGGCTCCCATGCCACTGTTCCCTAAATAAGAGGCCGGTTCAGGGCCAGGATCCCAGCCCATCTTGTACTCATGACCCCCACAAACTCCCTTGTCTGAGCCGGAAGTAGTCAAACCTTAGGCACCTAGGCCAGGCAGAAGAGTGCCCAGAAAGAGTCTCATTCCACTAAACAGTGGTGTGACCCCAGGCTTGGGACCCCCATGAAAGACCAGAGTGATCAGGACTAAGATCTCAGCATCAGACTTACCCACACCCCCGAAGGGCAAAGTGGGCACAGTGATGTGAACAATGACGTCATTGGCTGTCACACCGCCACTTGATGTCTCTGCGATCATTTTCTTGATCACCTGTGTGAAGATCCAAGCAACCACCTTGCAGTCCTGCATCCTCGCTACCCTGTCTGAACATGTCTCGGAGCCTCAAGAATAGGGACTAGTGGAAGCAGAACCCCGGCCACCAGCTCTGCCATCCTTAACCCCTGCAGCATCTCCAGCCCTCTGTAAATATCACACAACCCTTAGCGCTGTACGGGCAAACAGCAGCAGTTCCTTGACCCTGTGGCAATGACTACAATCCACAGCTCTAGGAAGAAGAACCAGTCCTAATCTTCGAGCTAAGGCCAACGAGGTTCAGATAGGCTAACTGATTTGCCCAAGGTCACATGTCCTTGATGAATGAGGAAGCTGAAAACTTGAACCCGGGCCTGTGGATCTCTGGGTCCCCTTGCAAGTGAATGTCATGCCTAAGAGGCTGGGAAACTGGGAAGAGGACCCTAGGCCCACCTTGTTGTTGTTGGAGAACACGTAGAGTGCCAGAGGTTTCTCACGCTGGTTGATGAATTTAATGGCCTCTTCCAAGCTTCGAACACACACAATGGGCATCACCGGCCCAAAGATCTCCTCCTGCATCACCTGGGCCTGGGGGTCCACGTCCACGAGAATGGTGGGAGCTGAGGTAGGATATGAACTAGAGTCTGTGCTGATTCACCCCGCCCCCGGCCCCCAGCACACACATGCACATACAGTACACACAAGCCAGTGCCAACACCTAGTTCCTGCTTCCTTTCTTTTGCAAATGAAGCTGCCAAACTTATATGACTTAAAGTGTTCCTCTCATGCCCACTTCCTCCCTACCCCCCCCCATACCGTACTCCATCATGGCAGACCATGGGGAGATCTAAACACTGAAGGGACAGTCATTACATCTGCTGGCCCCATGTATCCATCCCAGAACTCTCCAGCCTCCTTGATAACTGGGTACCAAAGGGACTCCAGCTGATGTTGCCCCCAGCCAGGACACTGGGAGCTCCTCCCAGCTTGGCCTGCCTTGAGCTCTTGGGGCCTCTACTGTCTCCATTCCCTGCTCCCTTGTACAGACAGGAGATAAAGATGAAGCCCTTGTCTTTGCCTTGTGGGAGAGGTCTCTGGGGCTACAGAGAAGGCAGATTCTGAACACCACTCTTCTGAGCTTTCTGCAGGCTCACCTGGGAAAGCCTGCTTGCTGAGAATCTATGCCCACTTTCTGTAAACTTGCCATAAATGCTGGTAGTTCGGCAAGCAGGCAGAACACACACCTATGTATCGTGAAGCCGCATCCCAGGTGCCTCCATGGGCTACTTTCTGGCCCTCAATCAGGCCTATGACCCGCTGGAAGTGACGGTCATTGATGATTCTCCCATAATCACGGGCCTGCTTAGCATCTTCCCCATAGAAATCCTGAGAAGAGATGAGGCCTCAAGGAAGTCTTGGTCCTGTCATGACCCTGACCTCCCAGCCTCTAGGCAGTGACTGCCTGTGGGTGGTGGAATCTGAGTTGTGCCCCTCCCCCATCCCGTTATGCTCTGCACTCTTCCCAGTTGTCTGCAGTGTGTGCGCGCATTTTTTTTGTGTGAGTAGAAGAGAAGTACCTAGAATTTCTCAAAGTCCTAGAAGTTGACTGAGGCAAAACACACCCCCTATGTCTACAGTTCCCGACTCGCATCTGTGGGTCATGCTCACCTTCAGCGACTTTTTGAGCTTCTCCACGATTTGGTTCTGAATGGAGGGGTCACAGAGGATGTAGTCTGGGGCAACACAGGTCTGGCCACTGTTCATAAATTTCCCCCAGGCAATCCGCCTGTGGAAATGCAGTCTGTTAATCATGGGAACTCCCTTGAGTCTATCCACATGGTCAGGGCCAAGGCATTGAAGGGTGAGTGATGGAGGACAGCCCATGGGCTGCGTGCTACCCCGGTGGGTCCCCCTAAGCAATCACTCACTTGCAGAGGCACTGAGAAGCCCCCGCCACACACACACACACACACACACACACACACACACACACACACACCACAGGGGTTCCTGCAGTCAGTGTTTAATGTCATGGGTGTCAGGGAGGAAGTTCTGAGGATATCCTGGGGTGAGAGCTCCGTGACTTTGACCACATTCTCAGAGCCTTGCATAGCCAGGTGACAGATGATGGGGTGCAGAGATGGCCAGAGGCCTAGCTAGTACAGACGTGAGTCCCATCCTGGGCTCTGAGATGTGAGTCCCATCCTGGGCTCTGAGCAAGTGGCCCTGCGTTCCTGGGCCTGCTCTCCAGATTTCAGTTGGGATCTCCTGAAGAGGGGCAACGAGGCTTGGTAAAGGTCTGAAAACCCTGAATATCCCACGTTTGCTTTCCTTGAAGCTTCTCATTGGAGTACCACCTTTAGTGATGCCCACAGAGTCAGTGCTTTCTCTGGAGGCCTCCCTCTAGGAAGACTTCTATGAATGGTGTCCCCTATTCAACTTCTCCCATCCCCAAACCATAGGCTCCTTAGGGGCAGGGACCACTTTTATTATTCGGTGCAGAGACATAGGTCTTTGGCACCATCATGAGTTGAAAGGTGGATAGGAGCCCAAGCCTCCTCACCGGCAGGCCACATCTAGGTCACAGTCCTTGTCCACGTAGCAAGGGCTTTTTCCTCCAAGCTCCAGGGTGACAGGGGTCAGGTGCTTGGCCGCGGCGGCCATAACGATCTTCCCCACCGCTGTGCTCCCAGTGTACATGATGTGGTCAAACTTCTCAGTAAGCAGCTCCGTGGTCTTGGGGACACCCCCATTGATCACTGGATACAGATCCTTCCCGCAAAGAGACAGGAGGCTCAGCAAAACCAAGCCTCTCCTCACTCCGCGCATAGAGTGGGCACTAGGAGACTGGCAGCCCCTCAGTCCTTCAGCTCTGTGCTTATTTGGGCACCCAAGCAGGTAAGTCATTCTCCTAGCTCAAGGACTCCTGCTGTTAGAAGCCGGGCTCCTCCCATCTGCTCTAAACACCTCCTGTCTCCCAGGCTTTAAACACTTGACCCCCATCACAGCCATCCTTGAACTCTAGAGGGCACCTCACCTTATCCAGGTACTGAGGGACAAGGGTGGCTAGCAGGTCTGCCGTGTTCTCACTCACTTCTGAGGGCTTGAGGACTACTGCATTTCCTGCAGAATTCAAGGTCAGGGTCACCCTCGGGAGGCCTCCTCCGAGACTCTTCCTACCCAATGACCAGGCCTAGAGATTCCATTACATCCTCTGTACTCTTGGAAGGCAGTGGGAGAGGCTAGACATGGGGGCATGCCGTGAGAACACACAGGCACACACTGAGAAACACAGGTACACACGAAGGAACACAATGCAGGGAGCACACACAGGTAGACAGACACGTGGGCATCTGCTACAGGCACACACACACTGGCACATGCTTTCAGGTGGAGTACCAGCTGTCCCCCAGCAGTGCTGGGAGACTAGGAAAGAAGAAAGGACACTCAGAGAGATGCCCAGGCTAGAGAGCGAGCAGCTCTGGCCTCTCCTGTCACATACTAACAGAAAGTCCTTACCCCCATGCCCACCCCGACCCTACAGGTATATGGAGAGGTCATCCTGGAGGCCTGGCTACATGGTTTAGCCACCAGAACCTCCTGTAGCAGTCACTCTTACCCGCAGCAATGGCACCCACCATGGGCTGGATGGTGAGGTTGAAGGGGTAGTTCCAAGCACCTATAACAAGGACTATGCCCAGGGGCTCCGAGTGGATGTAGGACTCATCCTGCTGGGTTTGGGGAGTCTTTGCCACAGGCTCATCCTCAGCCCACTCTGGGAGTTTCTTAATCGTGGTGTCAATCTCCTCCAGCACATGCACAATCTCCTCATTGTAGGCGGTCCACTCATTCTAGGGAGAGGCGGCACCTCGTGAACGTGGGCCGCAGAGCCAAGGCTCTGCTGCCCTGGTAAATTGGCTGTTCAACATGGGGTCTGTACCAGGGTGGTGGGATACAGAGCTGAAATGTGGCCATTAGGGTATTAGGTCTGAAAGGTCCCTTCTTCACAAGGTTTGGAGGGTGGGGTCCGTGTGAAGTGGCTGGGGGTACCCCAGGACCCAGAGCTGGTAAAGGAATGAATGAAGCTAGGTCTGGCCAGAGGAAAGGGTTTGAGGGTCATTGGTGAGGGAGAAAATATATTGTCTGGAAGACTTACAGACGACACTGAGACCTGAACCTGAGAAAGAGCTTGGGAGATCATGGGTACAAATCCCACCCAGGGAAGAAGTGCCCAAGAGTGGCAGGCAAAAGGTCAGAACTACAGCAGAGGGAGACAGAAACTGGAGACACCAGAGCCTCCTGGAATGGTAGGGGTACAAGAAAGAGGGAGCACGGCTGGCAAATACGCATCTCTTTCCTGAATTTTGGGAAGCCAAGAGTGAGTTTTCTCCTTCCTGCCTTTTAAGGTGGGAAGCCTTAGGTGAGTGAGCCCTGACAGGGCAGAGGGTGGGCACCGCAGGGAAGGTGGAAACAGTTGCAACTGAGTCCTGGTCTCAAAGTAAAAGGCTTGTGGATCTGGAGGTTCCTAGCTTGTTCAACCCAAGGGAATAAGGAGGAAGGAGGAAGCCATGTGAAGCCCGATCCCTCTGGTGAGCACGGCCTTGCTGGTCCTTGGTGTGCCGAACCAGGTAGAACAGGGAGGGACCGAGGACAGAGGGATAAGGCAGGTGGCTGTGGCAAGGTGGGTGAGAGGGGCGAGGTGGGAGTGGACGGGTACTTGAAATGGATTGACGAAGAAGCCAGACCATAGGGGAAAAGCAACAGGTGGAGGGAAGAAGACCCTGTCTAGAGGTGGTGGAAGGAGAGGGCGACCCTCCTAGCTTTGCCAATCCTTTCCGAGCCTCCTTTCCCCTCTATAACATTGCCTCTACACGCGCAGCGTTTGGGGATCAGTGCAGTCCTCAGTGAAGTGCTGGGCGGCGTGCAACTGACGCCTTACACTGTCCCCGTGCCTCTAACATCAGTTAGTCCATTTTTGTGGGCGCCTTCACTCCCCACCCCCGGGACTCCGCACCTTGTGCAGGTCAGCGGCCAGTGCAGCGACGATGTCCGCTTGGTGCTCAGTGATCATGCGCCGCAGCGCCTCCAGTTGCTGGATTCGGAACTGCAGCGGGCGAGTCTTGCCGGAGTTAAAGGCCTCCCGCGCCCGGTTCACCGCGTCACTGATCTTGCTCATCGCACCTGGAGATACAGAGAGAGCATTTTGCAGCAGAAGAAGGCCACATCCACGGCTCTGGGTTGTGCTTTGGCACAAGCTCCCTGGCACTGGCTCGACCCTCAGTGCTCTGCCACTATGTTAGTTTTATTTGGATAAAGACCTCTCCTAGACACTGCAAAATGCATTCCTGCTGGAAGGTCCCTTTTTCTGACTCAGATGGCTATGTCTTTCTGATGTCTTTAGACATCCCGGGTTAGGTGACACTAATCCGCAGGAAGCCATACCCATCCGAAGCAGACTATGTCATAGGATGGAAGGGGGCACCCTTCTTGGCATCTCTCCAGTCTGATCACTTGCAAACTGGAACCGCTTCCTTCCCTGTAAACACTCGAGGAGCCTTGCAACCAACGTTTTAGATTAGGTTGAATGCATACAGACCATGATTCCACCTCTTACCCACTTATAGGAAAACTAACACCAAAATTCCCACATACCCTTCCCGGCTACATCATTGTGCTTGAATGTGCTGGTTGCTTGGCTAAACTGAGCCAGGCTTAGCTTTTAGGTCAACGTGTACACATCAGTGTGACACAGGTCAGTGCCAACAAAGGTTCTTGTGCAAAATTGCAGAGGTGATTCCTGCTTCCAGTACAATAAAGAAGCTGGCAAATTGGTGTGGCTCTTGGGGGCAGGGAGATTTGACCATATCCAGCAAAGGCCTCTTGAAAATATTTGTAGGGGTTGGAGAAATGGCTCAGCAGTTAAGAGCATGCAATGTTCATCCAGAAAACTCACATTTGATTCCCAGCCTCCTCCCTCACCTGTAACTCCAGTTCCAGGGGGTTCAAATGCCTTTGTAAGCATTTACACTCATATGCACACATACACACACACACACACACACACAGAGAGAGAGAGAGAGAGAGAGAGAGAGAGAGACCCATACACATAATAAAAAAATAATAAAAATAAATCTTTACAGAGCAAAAGATATAATTAAAGATTTTAAAAAGTAAGTATTTGTAACACTGAAGATCTCTGCAGGAGATTCTAGTAACTGCAGCTCCCTAAGCAACAAGAAAGTGCTTACTGTTTGCATCTGACAAACATACTGGGAACAGCCTAGTACTGGTGGCATCACACGGTGGATTATTTGGACTTAAGATAGAAAACTACCAAGGCTCTGCTTACCGCACATGTGTCATGGGGAAGAAAGAAACATGTTTCCCAAACATGTGCACATGCATGAGAGAAAAAAAGTGAGGATAGCCCCAGAGTGGGGGAGGGGAGCTACTGAAGGAGTGAAATAATTGGCCATCTCCTCTCTCTTTCTCTCTCTCTCTCTGTCTCTGTCTCTCTCTTTCTCCTTCCCTCTGTCTCCCCCTGTCCGGGGACCTGTGCTCCTACCACTGAACCACACCCCAGCTGCAGCGATGTGGCTTTTCATTTTTTATGACGCTTGACATTTTGCAATGAGCTTGTTTTTTTGAATGTTTGCCGCAACTTTGAGTGGAGAATACATGGTCACGGTGCAAAACTGAACAAAAGAGGACACAAATTAAAGCACTTGGCCTTCTCCTCCCAAGAAAGCAGTCGTTTCTGCCAATTCCTCACCCTTCTTCCAGAGATTTGGCCCAGCACTGTATAACATTTAACATTGGGGTGTGGAGGAAGTTCTTCTCATTGTACAGAAGTACAGCAAGTTCCCCTGCTAAGCCCTTCCCCCATGTACTATTACATAAATACAGTATTGAATGATGTTGGATATGGGTGCATGAACCTGCCTGATTTTGCATTCAGGTTCCTACCACCATCTCCCTCACCCATAGGTGTCGACCCTTATAGTTCTTCCCTAGGGAGAGGCACCCTGTTGGCATCCAGGCTTCAGATCTGGACATGTCATGCTCTGTTCCTTATCCACCAGGAGGCCGGGTAATTCCTTCACTGGGACCCCTGGGTAGGGATCTGTAGACCAGCCTGTAGACAAGTTCTTCCTGCTGGCCACAGCTTCAGCCAAGCAACCCTGCAGCAAGATCGTACCTCTCTTCTTACCCTTGTGGTCTAACCAGGGTCACATGGCCTCTGCCACAAATCACCAAGGTAGGGGACCCAGGAGGGGAAGAGCCTCACGTGAATGGGGCTGGGCTGAGATCACCGCTCAATATCATCTCCCAAAATTACGTGGTCCTTAAGAAGCAAGGTCCCTGGGTCTCCTCTGTGAGCCAGTTAACCCCGGTGCTATTCAGAGTTACCGACAGATATGCCAAGACATTTGATGCTGCACCTGGCATCTGAGTGGGACATGAACTAGGTTTTCTCTCTCAGAACCACCCCACTTTGGGAGTTACACCTTCCTTCTAGACACACCCCACTCTCAGCAATCCTTCGCTCTCCCCTCAGTTCTCATAAAACCTGCATAGCAGAGCTGCTGAGATGGCTCAGCGGGTAAAGGGCTTGCTTTGAAAGCATCAGGACCTGAGTTTGGATGCCAAGAACCCATAGAAAGCCAGACATCATAGCACATTTCTGAAATCTCACAACCCCACTGAAAGATGGGAGACAGACAGAAGACTCCCTGGCATCTCATAGACCGGCTATCTGGTATACCTGGATAGCAGTCAATATCAAAGAGTAGACTCTGCCTTGAACAAGGTAGAAAGTGGGGACTGGCAATCAGAGCTGTCTACTGGCCCACACATATGTCATGGCACACACACACACACACAGAGAGAGAGAGAGAGAGAGAGAGAGAGAGAGAGAGAGAGAGAAAGGGAGAAAGAGAGACACAGGGAGAGACAAAGAGAGGGAGAGATTGATTTTTTTTTCAATGCACCATAATAACGCTCACAAAGAAAGGTCAGTTATGCATTTGTTCCACAGCTGAGGACAGTAAGACTGAAGACGTTTCAACATGCCACCTCTGTCCTCACAGGTAACAGGCACTGAAGTCAGGCTTTGACCTCACAAGCGTCTCTCTCCAAGACATGTACTCAGCAATGCAGCCCTGCCACCTTTCTAGGGGGCAGAGAAGCTTGACTGTGTGCTCCAAGCTCTCTAACCCAAAGGCCACCTCTCTTCCTGTGTGTTGTGGGTCTCTGGGACTTTCTTGGCCCAGTGTTGCAGATGACGGAGCTCCAGGAATTTGATGTTGGACATTCAATGCACCCAATCAGGAAATGTTGGCCTGGCAGGATCTGGACCAGTTGCCCTCAAAATAGACGAAAGATTCTCAAGATTCTCAAGGCCCTTGCTCCAAGCAGGCTGTACAGACATGCTCCCACCTAGAGACGAAATAAGGAGGATGGGGAAGATTACCTTCTGCACAGCCTCCTCCAGCAGCTGGGACTCCTGGAATGAGCAAGAGCCAAGAGAGGACACATTTAAGCACCTCCTTCCCTCCCACTTGGTCCCGCTAGACCTTGCCCAGGAAGTTTGCGTGATGAGCTAAAACAATATTCAAATGTGGGCGCAGCATAATCCGGACCTCTCCTCCACAGAGGTTTTGAAGATTAGGTCTCAGGCTGTTTGTTTTGTTCTGTTCTGAACTGCAAGATGGGCCTGTGAAAGTTTGTGTGGGCTTTTAGCCAACCCTCAAAAGAGCCTGTTTGCCCTGGGCGTGGGGGCCACTGAGTGATTCAGCCTGGCATAAAGCTCATGCTTTTGCCAGATGCTGTTCCCTGAGTCCCCTGTTATGTAAGGTCTACAGCGGGTGAGCTACAGTCACACAGTGTGTGCACAGCACCAGAGAATACATGTCAAAAACTCACATTCCTCTATCTCTGCCATATGCAAGGGATGAGGGTTCCACTGAGGCACAGACTCACAACAGGCGGGTTGGAGATTTCTGCAGGGGTCCCTACTAGTATGTGGATCTGTTCTTTCAAAGATTAGAGGAGAATGTGGCCAGGCCCTGCCAGAATTACCAGGAATTTCCTCTCTGTGGTCCCCCAGGGAGAATAGAAGCTGGAAGTCCCTCCCTCTGTGTTTAAGCAGTGTTCTCTGAGCCTCTGGCCTGCACCACGCTGTGGGGGTAGAGGTTCACATGGACCACCACAGTCAGCCACATCCCACACCTGCACTGTCACCAGGGCTTCTTGGTGCCCCTAGCTAGCAGGCTACCTTGCCCCCTTATGCCCCTGGTGTTCGTTCAGAGGAAAACAGGTCCCCACCATGGCTGTGAGACACAAAGGCTGTGCTCTTGGTCTCTCCCAAATTTGCACACTCCATGACTCTGCTACAATGTCATATCAAATAGCACCACTTTGTCCTCTGATGTGGGATCGCCCTCTGTATGCTGTGATTACCATTAATGAATAAAGAACTGCTTTGAGCCTGTAGCAGAGCAGGGAAGAACAGAGCTAGGTGGGGAAAACTAAACTGAATGTTGGGAAAAAGAATGGCAGGGTCAGAGAGAAGCCATGTAGCCCCGCCAGAGACAGACGCCAGAACTTGCTGGTAGGCCACGAGCCTCATGGTAAAATATAAAATAATGAAGATGGGTTAAATTAATATGTAAGAGTTAGCCAATAAGAAGCTAGAGCTAATGGGCCAAGCAGTGACTTAAATAATATAGTTTCTGTGTGATTATTTCGGGGGTTAGCAGTCAGGAACTAACTAGCGGCCTCTTCACAACCATTCTCTTCAGTCTTTTCCTCCAAGAAGGCTGTGTCTACAGTTATGGGTAATAATATTATAATGGAGTTGAAAATTTCTATTGTCTGGTGGCCTTGTGCCATCACAGCAACTACAGCAAATCACAACACAGGCATTACGGTCCCTAAGACCTGATGCTGACCAATGACTGCTAATGGCTATTGTACTTTCTATACACTTTATCATTATTTCAAAGTGCTTTCCTTTGAAATAACAAGAAAAGGAAAGGGAGACGTAAAACAGTGTGCCACATGAGGCCAGCAGCTGCCCCATGCAGATCATGGTTCCTACATAACTTCCTCTTCTTGAACTTGCTTGTGTTGTTTTGTTCGTGGTGGCCCTGGGAGCAGTGGCTAAGTCATGTAGTAGGATCTACACCAGCTATGTCTGTTTTAGTGCGTTTTAAGATGCCTACACAAAGGCAAAATTGCCTGCTGAAAACATACCCTGTTGTTAATCGACAGATGGCAGTACTTACGCTAACTGCTCCCTGTCTCCCTCTCTGGCCCTCCCTCACCAAACAGAGCTGGATCCACTAGCCACTGGAAATCCATGAAACGGATGCTTGGTCAACATCTGTTGAATGGTGAAATAAAGAAAACATTTCAAAAAAGTATGAAATAGGGATGGGGTATGCATAGGAATCTGAGATGACAGACTCCCCGTGTGGAGAGAGGCTTTCAGGCAGAACAGCAGGCCAAGGCAAGATACAGGAGGCAGAGTAGTGTGTCCTCTGAAGACTGCACTGATATAGGGTGATGTCTGTGGCCTTGAGGAGGTGAGGAGCGGGACCACACTCCAAGCCCTGTGGGCTGGGCTAGGCCACAATATAGGGACCAGCAAGTGTCTTGTCAGGCAGACACATCTGGCCATTGTTTTTGCTTCTGTTGTGAGTAATGGTCATGGTACCTTGCTACTCTTTGTCATAGGTCAGGTCATTTCAGAGGTCTTTAATCAGTTAAGAACAAAGTCTCCAAGGCTGTTTCATCTTGGTTTTGGTTAAAACTTTTGTCTTAAGGCTGGAATGTGGCTCAACAATAGAGCACTTTCCTAGTCTCTAGCATTATAGAGAAGGACGCTTCGGTTCTGGGATAACTTGGGGTGTAACCCCTGCTCTTCAGTGTTAGCATTTGCAAGCCCTGATAATCCGTTCTCAGTACCTGGTTCCAGCTTGGCCTGTCCTGCTCTGGCTCCTGGGCCACCACCTGCCTGATCTTTCTGATCACTCTCTCTTCCTATGACACCCGCTCCAACACGCTAGATGGAATTTTTGTCAGAGAAAGCTTGAGTTTGCCTCTCCTCCCATTTGACAGTAATTGCTGTTCTTTTGTTGCTCTTTGGGAGAAAATCTAATCTGTGAGCTCCTGAAGGCTTGACCCCTGGCTATCTCTCATGGCAAACACCAGTCCCTGGGTTACACCCCCCCAGACCTGACTTATAATGTTTTCAGCTCATGTTGGTTTGTTAGCCTGCTATATCCAGAGGACCATCTGCATATATGGGCATCAGCCATGAGTTAGAAAAACCCTGGAATCAGAAAAAGTAAGCAAGATCTGTGACAAAATCCCAAGGCACCCCACAGACATTTGATGCTTCAAAGCAGACAGGAAAACATCTCTAATACACCAAGAGAGGCAGAGAGTATCTGTGAACACTGGGGCCACTGCTAATTCTAGCCACCCATATACAGTGGGATAAGCACAGTGGCTTGGCAGACACCCAGCTAAGTGAAAACTTAGCTACTGCTTGTTTGAGGTAAAACCACAAGTACATCAGGAAGCTGCCAGCCAGACAAGTCATCGCAGAGGCCAGTGTTGGCAAGGCCCCACACCAAGCCATGGCTGAGCGGACAGCCACCTTGACATTGCTCCTCCCCTGGCTTCATGGGTGAGGGACCCATGGTTTTCAAAATTAGTGGGATGCAGTATCCCCCATTCTGGGTCTGCTGTTATGGTTTGAGTGCAAAAGCCCCCCACAAGTTCATGTGTTTGAATATTTGGCCTTCATCACACTTTGGGGAGATTATGAGCATTTTAGGACCTGCAGCCTATCTGGCAAATGTAAGCCATAAGGACCACCCTTTGAAGGTTGAACTCACCTCTGGTCCTGTCTAGTTCTCTTCTTCCAGATCTAACCACATGTGACTATACCACCTTCCCTGACCACAGTCGATTCATTCCCGCCACCCGACTTTGTCTCTTCAAGGATGAGGCAAAATCCCTCTATCACTGAGTCAAAATTCATCCTTTTCAAGTTTCTTAGGAACTTTGCACCAGCAATGAGAAAGGTACCTCTGTCCATGCAGAGATCCACTGGCTGTCCCTCCACGGGCAAGCAGGGTGAGAGGCTCTGGTACCAAAGACTCAGCAGCCAAAGTGCAAAAGGGTAGAGTGTGCAGTGTGGGTGAGAATGTGGGCAGATGGGAGCCCCTTGCATTGTGATGGGGAATGTAAGAAGGGAAAACGGTGTGGCTGTTCCTCTGAGCACAGAATAGGCAGTTATATGATGACCCACCCATCCCATTACTGAGATAGACACCAGAGAAATGAGAACATATGTCCACAGACAACCTACACAAGAAAGTTCATAGGGCAATTACTCCCGATGCCCAAAGTGGGAACCACCCAAATGCCTGACAGTCAATAAGCCAACAGCATTGACACAGCCCTGAAATGAACACACAGCCAGAAAAGGGAATGAAGGATGGCACAAATGAACTTTAAAATGCAGCATCAAGTAAAAGAATCCACATGCATCAATCCACATGCTTCTTGGTTCCCTTAAAGGAAATGCTCAGAAAAACAAATTCACAGAGACAGAAAAGAGAGAAGTAATTGACAGACCCTGCAGAGACATAGAGACAAAGAGGGTGATTGCTAATGGGCATGTGTTTAAATATATATCCTGATACAACCCCAGAATTTGGTGGCAGAAGCAGGAGGGTCCCTGCAAGTTAGAGGCCGGCCTTGCCTTCATAGAAAGTTCCAGGCCAGCCAAGTACTATATAGAGAACTAAAGTCTGTCTTAGTGAGGGTTTCTATTGCTGTGATGAAACACCATGACCAAAAAGCAACTTGGGGAGGAAAGGGTTCATTCTGCTCACAGTTCCATGTAACAGTTCATCATCAAAAGCAGTGAGGGTAGGAACTCAAGCAGGGCAGGAACCTGGAGGCAGGAGCTGATGCAGAGGCCGTGGAGGGGTGCTGCTTACTGGCTTGCTCCCCATGGCTTGCTCAGCCTGTCTTCTTTGGAACCCAGGATCACCACCCCAGGGATGGCCCCACCTACAAGAGCTGAACTCTCTCCAATTAATCACTAATTTAAAAAATGCCGTAAGGCTTGCCTACAGCCTGATCTTCTGGAAGCATTTTCTTAATTGAAGCTCCCTCTTATCAAATTACTTTAGCTTGTGTCAAATTAACATAAATCTCTCCGATACAGAGTCATTGTCTCAGAACACCAGAGAGAGAGAGACAGACAGAGACAGAGAGAGAGAGAGAGAGAGAGAGAGAGAGAGAGAGAGAGAGAGAGAGGAAGGAGGGAGGGATTGTTGTATTTTTCAAACTGAAAAAATACATTACTTACTATAAACAAGTAAATTGGGGATGCCTTAGTCGGTGTTCTATTGCTGTTAAAGACACCATGACCAAGGCAGCTCTTATCAAAGAAAGCATTTAATTGGGGCTGGCTTACAGTTTCAGAGGTGTCCATTTGTCATCATGGTGG